AGGCTGGTTCTGATGGGTTCTGCCCAGGCTGGTTCTGATGGGTTCTGCCCAGGCTGGTTCTGATGGGTTCTGCCCAGGCTGGTTCTGATGGGTTCTGCCCAGGCTGGTTCTGGATGGGTTCTGCCCAGGCTGGTTCTGATATTCAGGCGGTCTGATGCTTGATGGCGAGCAGCTCCAGAACCTCTGAGCAGATCGGGTCGGCCTTCCTGCTCCGACCGGGCCTCTGATCTCTGTGTTCTTGTGCCGTTCAGGTGATGCAGTTCATCGAGAAGAAGCGTCAGAACCACCGGTCAGTACCAGTACCAGCTGGTCCCGCTTTAAGGTCCAGAACCGGTCCAAAGATCAATGTTTTGGTTTTCTAGGTACGTCCTGATCGACACGCCGGGTCAGATCGAAGTCTTCACCTGGTCAGCGTCAGGGACCATCATCACGGAGGCTCTGGTGGGTCTGGGTTCTGCTCGGCCGGCTCTCAGCCGGCGCCGGTTCTGATGTGTGTCTTCTGGTCTTCCAGGCGTCGTCGTTTCCCTGCGTGGTCATCTACGTGATGGACACGTCCCGCAGCGTCAGCCCCGTCACCTTCATGTCCAACATGCTCTACGCCTGCAGGTACCACCCGCTCCTACCCACGGTTCTGACCCGGAAAAGCTAGGAGGTCGGGTTCTGGCTCGGCAGGTTTTCCTAATCTGTTCATCTAACAGTCATGGAAAACGTTCCAAAATCCAGGAACATTTGGACCCGTTTGGACCGCCAGGAGACAGAACCACCCTGGAGATAAAACCACTGATTTGGTTATTCCCTGATTGCTGATCGCATGTTGGCGGTACGGGGTGAAGTGAAGCCACCGGCTGCCATATTGGTACTCCCCAGTTAGACCGGTGGCAATGTAAACCATCCATGCATATATATGTGTGTGTGTGTGTGTGTGTGTGTGTCAAATGTTTGAGTTGTTTTTTTTTCTCATTCTAACCTGCAATATATTTCAGCTCATGATTTTATCAAATGAGAAATATAAACACTACAAAAACGACAGCATCATCATACTTTCTATTTCCTAACGTTAGACCCAATGTCAGCGTCTAACTCAAAGTCTTCCAGTCAGTCTGAGAGAGCCAGACTAATGTTAGTCTGCAGACTAAACTATAGGACAGACGGATATAGACGGATTTATTGCTTAGTTCATCCACTGACTGCTTGTTTCTGCAGCCAAATGTTGCATAGGGAGTACCAACATGGCGGACGGTGGCTTCACTTCTTCGGGGCAATCATCAATGCAGTGAATAGATAGAGATGAGGGATAAAACCAGCAGCAGCCGTTCTGGACGTGATGTTTCCTGATGGATGGTTCTGGATCAATCGGGTCCTTCTGCAGATCATCCTGGATGTTATCATCTCGGCCCAGAACCTTCTTAGAACTGGCAGTGCTGGAGGAGACCTGCTGTGATGTCACTCTGGCTGTCCAATCAGAGAGTGAGGATGAGTGATGTGATGTTTGTTAAACTCAGCTCATTGGTTGTCTTTCAGCATCCTGTACAAGACCAAGCTGCCCTTCATCGTCGCCATGAACAAGGTCTGCTGCTTCACTCTTTTTACATTTCATTTATTCCACTTATTAACCAAAAATAATTAATTAGAATCAAATTATTAAAGTCAGTTAAATCCTTAGACGGTCTGACTGTTTGTTGCCGTCTGGTGGCTGATGTGACTGTTGCCATGTGGTGGTTGCAGACTGACTGTTTGTTGCCATGTGGTTGCAGACTGACTGTTTGTTGCCAT